AGCTTAGGGGAAGGCCTGGGGGATGAACTGAGGCTGGTGGTATAGCTGTGAGGATCCAGGCTCTGGGAGGGGAGGAACTGCTCCAAGGGGAGGAAGACTAGTGTGTGGTACCTGTGGGTTGCCCTGTTCCAGCCTATCTGCCCTCTTGATCAAGTTCACAGTGTGCTTGCGTCGGGAGGGGCAGACTGTATACCAGCAAGTTCTGTCCCTGGAGCGCCCAAGTGTCCTGCGCAGCTGGAACTGGGGATTGTGTGGGTACTTTGCTTTCTACCACGCCCTCTATCCCCGAGCCTGGACTGTCTATCAGCTTCCTGGCCAGAATGTCACCCTCACCTGCCGTCAGATCACACCCATCTTGCCCCATGACTACCAGGTGAGGCTCTCTTTCTGTTTCCTCCATTGCCCTCCCTCCCCCAGATCCACCTCTGCTGAAAATTCCATGACCTGTGAAAGGGAGGGGTTGGAGCCATGAACATCACACACCTTGTCTTCTATGTACTCTGGTAGGCAGCCTGCCTGGGAATATGGGGAGATGCAAGTGGAAGACAAGAGTACATTGGGGATATATGAGACAGGTCCTTCTTGCCCAGGAATAATCCTGGGGACTGAGACCAGAAAGGGCTACAATGAGACCGTGTGAGTCCAATTTTTTTGTCCCCAGGACAGCAGCCTACCTGTAGGAGTCTTTGTATGGGATGTGGAAAATGAAGGGGATGAAGCTATGGATGTGTCCATCATGTTCTCCATGCGGAATGGACTAGGGGGTGAAGACGATGCCCCAGGGGGTTTGTGGAATGAGCCCTTCTGTCTGGAGCAAGACGGGAAGACTGTACAGGGACTACTGCTGCATCACCCAACCCTTCCAAATCCTTACACCATGGCTGTGGCTGCACGACTCACGGTAATGGAAGAGCCTGCCCTTTACCTTAGCCCCTACCCTTAACCTAACTCTAGACCCACCCYGAGTACATCATGCTCTCTTCATTTCTTCAACCCCTAAGTCCCACCTTCATCAGAGTCCTTCAGCCTCTGGAACTTGGAGGCGATAGTATGTAAGAGGAGCTGGACAGCTAGTCAGAATCCAACATACTTGTGGAGCTTGTCCTCACAGAGTTTTTGGCTCCTTAACAGGCAGATACCACGGTAACCCATATCACAGCCTTCGACCCTGACAGTACTGGGCAGCAGGTGTGGCAGGACCTACTTCAGGATGGACAACTGGACTCCCCTGCTGGTGATGGGGGGTCTGACTGGGAGGGTTGGGAAGAAAGACTGTACCTGTCTTAAGGACCAGGGGTGGGAGACCTGATAATAAACAGGCCTTGTTCTCATGTTAGGGACCCCAGCCCTGGTGTTGGAGGGGGTGCCTTTGCTTATTTGTCTTGTGATTCTCAGGCCAAAGCACCCCCTCACAGAAAGGAGAAGGTGTTGCTGGGGCTGTATGTGTTTCGGGCAAGCTGCCACCTCGAGGCCAGTGCCGCCTGGAGTTTTCACTGGCTTGGGACATGCCCAGGATCATGTTTGGAGCTAAAGGCCAAGTCCACTACAGGTGTGGGGACCAAGAACCTTTAATGATCCAAGACTCTAGAACTCTGACCTGGAACAGGTGTTCTCATCTCTTCCGTTTCTTTCTATCACAGGCGGTATACAAGATTCTTTGGCCTAGATGGTGATGCAGCACCTGCTCTTAGCCACTATGCACTATGCCGATATGCAGACTGGGAAGACAGGATCTCAGCTTGGCAGAGCCCGGTATTAGATGACAGGTGCCAGAGCAGCCTTCTCTTACCTCTTTTCTGGGCATGCCCTTCCAAATGGGACTCTGATTCATTGGCTACCCACCAAATTTCCACTATGTTGAACACCAGAATCCTTTCTATCCTTGGTGGTCCTCACTCATGAAACCATTGCCTCCTTCTGACTTCCCAGATCCTTGCCTGCCTGGTACAAATCTGCACTGTTCAATGAACTATACTTCCTTGCTGATGGAGGCACAGTATGGCTGGAAGTTCCTGAGGACTCCCTACCAGAAGAGCTGGGAGGAAGCATGTGTTGGCTCCGCCCCGTTCTGCKGGACTATGGTCGATTTGGCTATCTTGAGGGTATGGACTACTTGTGGGATTTGGCAGGTCATACCCCTCAGGTCAGTTAGCAACCTATCACAAAGCCAGATGATGGTTTTTACCATCCAGGGTATTGATGGGATGAGGGGGTCAATGGTGACCATGAACTGATCACAGGCAATGCTCTGCCTCCAGCTTTGGAAGATGTGGGGAGGGAGCTATGAAGGGATAACAGGAATTCTGGCAACAATGTATCTTTCCTCATTCCTCTAGGCCAGGAGTATCGCATGTACAACACATATGATGTACATTTTTATGCCTCCTTTGCCCTCGTTATGCTCTGGCCCAAACTCGAGCTAAGCCTACAGTATGACATGGGTGAGGGTAACTTTTGTGTTGTTTTGTGTCTTTCCCCTTAGCTTCCTATATTCCTGAACGTTTATGGTCCCTCAGATTATCTCTTCTTCCACTTTTCTCCAAACATATCTGTATCCTGTTCATTTCCCCTCTGGGGTGGCATACATAGCTCTGTGCCCCATCCCAAGCCTGCCCATTGCATGCTTTTCCCCTTCCACTTGTATGTCTGCTTCTCCAGCTCTGGCAACTCTCAGGGAGGACCTGACACGGCGACGATATCTGATGAGTGGAGTAATGGCACCTGTGAAAAGGAAGAATGTCATCCCCCATGATATTGGGGACCCAGGTAAAGATCCCTCCACCCCAAGGTCAAATKCTCTTCTTCAACTTTTTATACCCTTCACTTTGTCCACCAATGCAAATGAATCAGGTCCTCTTCCTTCTCACAGATGATGAGCCATGGCTCCGAGTCAATGCATATTTGATCCATGATACTGCTGACTGGAAGGACCTGAACCTGAAGTTTGTGCTGCAGGTTTATCGAGACTATTACCTGACGGGTGACCAAGGCTTCTTGAAGGACATGTGGCCTGTGTGTTTGGTAAGGGATGCATGTGCAGTAGCCAGTGTGTCAGGCATGACTAGCTCTGGGGAGAGCCCAGCTATTATCTTTTCTTAGCACCTAGGTCTTCCATTTCTTCGTCTTTCTCTAGGCTGTGATGGAGTCTGAAATGAAGTTTGACAAGGACCATGATGGACTCATTGAAAATGGAGGCTATGCAGACCAGACTTACGATGGATGGGTCACCACAGGCCCCAGGTTAGAGGCAGGGAGCGGGCAGGAGTTTCCAGGAGGCTAGAGATGGGGAATTGGGCACCAAGAGATGGGGAAGGCTTAAGAAAGAACGACTGTTAGACTACATGAGGGTAGCTTGAGTTGCCAGTCTGACCCCCCAAACTCCTGTCCCTGATCAGTGCTTACTGTGGAGGGCTATGGCTGGCAGCTGTGGCTGTGATGGTCCAGATGGCTCTTCTATGTGGGGCACAAGAGGTCCAGGATAAGTTTTCCTCCATCCTCAGCCGGGGCCAAGAAGCCTATGAGAGACTGCTATGGAATGGTGAGTTGGGACAACCTGAGAAGTCTTAAGGCAGCTGCAGGGGCCCAGGATGCTTATTTTACCTTTCCTCTACTCCAGGCCGCTATTACAACTATGATAGCAGCTCTCAGCCTCAGTCTCGTAGTATCATGTCTGATCAGTGTGCTGGACAGTGGTTCCTGAGGGCCTGTGGCCTAGGAGAAGGCGACACTGAGGTGAGAGACACTAAAAGGAAGAACCAGAGAAAAAGGTGGATTGTCCCCAATATACGGGAAGCAAGTATAACAAACCATGTCCCTGCCTTTGCCCTTGACCCTCCAGGTATTTCCTACCCCGCATGTGGTTCGTGCTCTCCAAACCATCTTTGAGCTCAACGTCCAGGCTTTTGCAGGAGGGGCCATGGGGGCTGTGAATGGGATGCAGCCCCATGGTGTCCCTGATAGATCCAGTGTGCAGTCTGATGAAGTCTGGGTGGGTGTAGTCTATGGGCTGGCAGCCACCATGATCCAAGAGGTAATGTAATGCACTCCTTCTCCTCTCTACCATCTGTACTATGGCCCAGAAAACTTGATAATCCACCAGACATCAAGGCATAACCCAGTGCCACATCATGGGTCCATAAAGCCTCCCCCTTTTCTTTGGCATGTGTTTCACCCGCTGCCTTTAGGTTTTTGCCTGTGGGTTAAGTTTTATCTCCCTGATAGCTGGGTGTTCCCTGAGGGCAGAGACCTTACTTCTCTATCTGTCCCCGAAAGTGGTAACACTGGGAGTGCTAAGTTATATGTGTAACTTCCATCTCTCCCCACAGGGCCTGACTTGGGAGGGCTTCCAGACAGCTGAAGGCTGCTACCGTACTGTGTGGGAACGCCTGGGCCTGGCTTTCCAGACCCCGGAAGCATATTGCCAGCAGCGGGTATTCCGCTCACTGGCCTACATGCGGCCACTAAGCATCTGGGCCATGCAGCTGGCCCTACAACAGCAGCAGCATAAAAAGGCTTCCAGGCCAGTAGTTGAACAGGGCACAGGACCAAGAACAGGGCGTAAATGTGGACCAAAGGAAGCCTTGGCAAATCTAAACCCAGAGTGAGCCCTCTGAACTGTGGGAGCCAGCCTCCAGCCTGGTTGATGCTCCTTACCCCAAACCTCCTGCATCCCTGAGCCACCAGGACAATCATGCCTTCCCCTTTTCCCCACCCTGCTGTGCCAGTAAAGAGGGGCTGAGGGTGAACCATGCATCAGAATCACTTATTTATTTCCTTACCCTTTCCCTCACTGCATGAAAYATTTGAGGTGGTCAGTTGATTTCCCCAGATCCATTCATGGGATAATAGACACACATGGGTACAAATAAAAGACCCACAAAGCCAGTAAGTGTTGTGTGTTTGAGCCTGTAGGCATCCTAGCGGGGCACAGGAGTGAAAGCCAACCCTCTCCTATTTTTTTATTTGGACAGRCAGCAGGGTGGGGTGGGCTTTTGCTGAAACACCTATATTCTCACATTTAACCTGAGTATCTGTCCTGCAAGATGACAGGTGATGGGCTGTGGGTAGGGAGGCATCCCCCCTTTCCTGTGAGATTTGCCCGCAGGGGAAGAGTGGGACCCGGGCAGAGGGGCTCTGAGAAGAGATTGGGGAGTGGCCACTGCAGAGAAGACTCTCCCTGAGAAGTCTGAGGCATGTGATACTGCAGGCAGGAAAAGTTGCCAGGGGCCTGGAGTGTATGTTCTGAGCTGTCCAGTAACTGGTTCGTGTTGTCCTTTTGTACGTCTGACTGCTGCGCAGGTAGCTCCAGCTGGTGCAGGTCCCTACTGGGGAGGGCACGAAGCTGGCGGAACACTGAGAAGACAAGAACTATTAGGAAACAACACAGAAGGAGTCTAAGCCTCTAGTCAGTGCCTGAAAGATATCCTTAATCCTCTTACCAACATGCTCAGGCGGCAGGCTCCCCCTTGTGTCTGAGGAGTACATAGCAGGCACAAGGAGAAGGCAGAAGGAGAATAGTAGGACCTGGAGCATAGAAAAAWGGGGATAAAGGGATCTGAATTGTACTCCTGTCTCCACCCCTGAGGAATCCCTCCTCCCAACACCATCCTCACCAGGACACAGGTGCTGCTGCTGCTGGTTTTGTTTGATATCTCGATCACCATGGCCTGGAGTTTCCTCAACTGATCTAGAAGGGACCTAGAAGAGGGTACTATATTGAATACTCCTTGCTGGCATCCTAAGCCACAATGAAAACCTCTGTTATGCCCACCTCCTCCCTCTGCCCTGAATCCTCTTATTATTTTGTCCTATTTTTGCAAATGACTTCTCTGAACAAAATACYGAGTCCCTCATTAAAACAAACAAAACACTTCCCTGACTGAAATTAATACCTTCAATAGTTCGTCAGTGCCTAGTCAGCAGTGCACATAATTCTCACCAGGTACTCTGTGTTCTCTACCTTCTAACCCAATGTGCCTTCTAGCCAAACCTGACTGTTGTGTTCTCTCTGCCTAGAATGCTTTCTCTACCCATCCCTCCCCACAGTCCTAACTGCATTCAGCTACTACTGCCCTATGAGGTCTTTAACTTACTTCCACTTTCCAGGTACTTAACTTATCCTTAGATACTTGTAAATTTATTCCCATCATTGGGAACTTCTTGTAATCATAGACAGAGTAAAGGCCAATGACCAGACCCTGCATTTGAGGAGCTGCCCCTACAAATCAAGTGTAGGATAATAGGGAAGAGACAACATTAAGTGGTGGGTTTGGAAGAAATTATCTGGAAGGTTGCTCACAAATTCTGTTCCTCCAGAAGTTGTACTTTGTTCTGTAGCTCCAGATTCTGGGCTGTGTATTTCAAGACCCTGGAGGATAAAAGGAATATGGGAATATGGCCGTATCCTCCCTTTAAAACCTTAACACAACTATTCTATTCCTTCTCCCTTTCATACCTGTTCTCTAAACCCCCCACATACACCTTCTTCTTCCTACGGCTCTCTTGAGCAGACCTCTTGTTTCGAATCTTCCTCCTCACTCGTTTCAGAACTTGTTCTTCCATCTGAGAGAAGATGGGAGAGAGTATCAAAGGAGTATTGGATCAAAGAAGGCAACCAAGTTCAATATTCCCAGTGTAGGAATCCCTTCTACAGCTACCCTGACCAATAGTCATTCTACTTCTGTCTGGATGCTAAGGACCAGTGTTAATCCTCTGACAAGCCAGGACATTTTAAACAAGCTTATTTTTTAAAAACTTTATTCTGAACAAACATCAGTCTTCTTACAATTTTTCTTTTCTTTTTTTTTTTTTTTTTTTGGTGGGGGGCATGGTGGGCAGTAATGGGGATAGAACCCAGGAGCACTTTACCACTGAGCTACATACATCCCCAGTTTTTGAGATAGGATCTTACTAAATTGCCAAGGCTAGCCTCAAAATTGTGAACTTCCTGCCTCAGCCTCTCAAGTCACTTGGATTAGAGGAGTGCACCACCGTGCCCAGCTTCTCATAATTTCTGTCCATCAGACTTACCTAGTCTCTGGGGCCAAATAGAACAAACCCTAATTAACTATTTTAGGACACTTTTAACATTGCCTAAATTTTAAAAGGAAAAAACCTCAACAAATTTTTAAATCATTGATGAACTCTAAAATGTGCTTTAACTAGTATAAAGGAAGGCAAATTAGTCACTGCCCTTGTAGCACCTCTATCAATAGCTTCCAAATCCCATGTACTTTGCTAGCTACACCATACTGCTGACCTTAACCTTTCTGCCAATGAACATTGATTTCCTCATAGTATCATAATACTATGCCTATGAAGTTGCCATTCACTGCTTGCAACTTAAAACAGGATTTTATCCTTATTCTTATTATATTGCTTGGTCCCAATTGTTGAACTCAAGAYACTTTACAACTGAGTAAGAAGTGGATTACCATGAAGTCAATAGAATGCCCTTCACTTGGACAGATCTTTCCGAGGCTGTATACTAATGTTGCACTGATMATTTTGAATTTATTTTTTCTTAAAAAGAACACCAAAGTCAGGAACTGCCCCAGTTTCCTACTAGCAACAGATTTGCTAACTTTGTCACAGAATTTGCCTACTTGGGAATTTGCATCCAGCCTTTGCTTCACCAATGGAAGCCTTACCTTAGTGAGAGGAAGTGTCCTGGGCAGAGTAAGCCCCTCCTTCTCCAATAGCCTTTTCTCCTCTTCTGTCAGTATCAGCCTAGCAATCTCCTAGGGTTATGGGAAATGGGCAGCAGARTTGCAGGCTGATGTCAGAAAGGAATGGGGAACTCTGCCCCACCCGTGCAATGTGGGAATAATCCTCTTGAAAACCAAGTCAAGTACCTGCTCAGTGGGCTCCTCCATATGCAGTGGAGTCATCTGGACCTCCTTTCCACAGCTCCCACTATCTACAAAAAGGGATAGTAGGAATAATCAGACTCATGAACCCTCTCCTCCCCCAAAACTGCTTATTTCAGACTCACCTAGATCGACGGTGACATACTCCTGTGGTAGGGAGTAGGTGTGATCGTGGTGGACAAGGCTAGAGTCGGAGGATCCAAGAACATCCAAGGACTGTGGGGGACTCAGCAGAAAGCTCAGTAAATCCTCTGCCTCCCAGTCGCTCAGTAATTGCACGGAGTCCTAACAAATTAACAGGCTTTGATTGATCTCCATCCCCCACTCCCGAGCTGACAGATATCCCGAGCTTCCCCCCTCAGAACCTCTATCCACCTCGGAGGGCGGCAGCTTCCCGTCCAGCTGAGCCTCCACGACTTCGTCCCGCACAGCCCCCAAATCTTCGCTCTCCTCTAGCAGAAAGCCCAGCAGGTCCTGGTCACCAGGGTCCAAGGCCAGCTCCATGTGGGACATCTACGGAAAAGATAGGCAGAAACTAAAGGTACACCCCTCCACGCGGCTCCACCCCGGATTCTAGGCCGGACCCCAGGCCATCTCCCCCACCTCGCTGGTCCGTCCGCTGGGTTGCCCCGCTGGGGGTTAGCCGTCGCTATCAAGCCTGAGCCGACTCCCAGCTCCAGGGCTCCTCAGCCTCCAACACAACATAAATGACGCATCCAACCCCATGGCATATTGGGACTTGGAGTTCTCTCCAACTCGGAAGTGGCCTCCGGGTCGCGCCACGTCCCGGGGGCTATGCAAATGATGGGGACGTCCCTGCGGCTACCTCACACCCTGGGGCGGGGATTCGGGGATCCGGCCACGCCTTCACCCCAAGCTAGAAAAAGGAAGAGTTAAGAGTCTAAAAGGGAACTCGGGCGTAGTTCGGGTGTTTTCTCCGGTAGCGCCGCACCCTTGCTTCCTGCCGGGGAGGGGCTGCCGGTCTTCGGCGGGCTCCCGAGCATCGAGAGCTGGGGCCAGAGCAGCTTCCTGCAGTCCCCGCAACCATAGAGCGCGGGCCCAGGGCGCCGCCCGCGGGTGGGGGACGTTCCCGGGACGGAAGTGGCGGAGAGTGTCGAGGGAGGGCGAGGCCGAAGACCGACAGCGACCCGGACTACGAGCAGCTAGCGGGCCGGCGGGTGGGGCACAGAGCCCGGCAGCACAGGTAGGCCGGACCGGGYGAACTGGAACCTCGGGGTGGGGCCGCGGGGCCCGGCCCGGAAGGCGGGCGGACGGGCGGGGCCCCCGACTGTCCTGCGTGTGGTGTTTCGGGTTCAGTGGGAGAGGTCAACGTCCAGTGTGTCTCAGCTAGGTATCGGAGTTAAGTAGGCCGGCTTGCGGGAGGCAGGCCCTTCCTGAGAACCGTCCCCCGCCTGGTCTAGGTTTTGGGGAGGGTGAGGAATGGGTGGCAGTGAGGCGCAGGGCGGTGATGTGCTTTGGTGYTAGCTGATAGCGGGTATGTGGTAGGAAAGCTTTGGGTGAGTTTGGGACTAGTTGGGGTTGGCTTAGAAGTTATATAAAACGGGGCTAAAATTTCAGTTATTCCTATGAGTCAGGTCCGTTTTGTGTAGGTGAGGTTTAGATTAAGGTCATTATTTTGTTTTATGAAATGGCCACTGTAAGTCAGAGTGCAAGGTCGGGCTAAGGGTCAACAACAGGAATTAGATTAGTAGTCCGTTTTAGGGATTAAAGACCGTGTCATGGTCAGTATTAAGGACAAACTGAAAATGAGATTTAGCAATCAAATTACAAATGAGTTTTAGGTTTAGGGCTCAACCTTTAAGGTTATAGCCAGGAGAGCTGGTGCTAAAGGTAAAAATTAGACCAGTATGGGTGTCTGCTAGGAAAGAGAAGAATGTCAAAGCTAGTACTGGGAATCAGGAAACAAATTAGGGTCAGGGTTAATGTTAGCATTTAGAGGCAACTTTGGGAATGTGGCTGAGGCCAAGGTCCTTGATCTTGAGCAGGTAAAATTTAAGAAGTTTGTAGTAAGTAGATGCCTTTGTTTTGTGCAGAGGTCCCTTATTCCTGTGTAGTCACAGAAGCTTCTTTCACCCAGAGAGATGATAAACTAATTTCAGACCAGGATTCTGGGATTCAGCTAAAATCAGAGGTATCCGGGATTCCAGCTTTTTTATTCCCTCTCTATGCCCAAGGCTCTTACTGTGGTTACCACAGTTGGAGGACAGGGATTCCTGACTATCTGTTTATAAGAAGGGATGTAGAAAATAAACAGGGACCCAGGAGATGTTACAAGGCCTAGTGGTAAGTGGGGGACTGCTTAGGGAAGAGGAGACAGGTGGGGATGCAGACCAAGGAAACACTATTGCCAGGGGAGAAGGGGATGACTAAATCCCCTGATAGTTTAGCTACACTGCCTTCCCTTTAACTCTTTCCCTAAATATTAAGTGTCCCTCTCCAACTCTCATCCCTGTCTCTGATTACATACCCTTTTGTCATACCTCCTTATAGAATACTTTCTTTGCCTTTGACTTTCCTATGTTGTTCCAGCCATTCCCATCCTCTCTGCTGCCTCAACCCCACCTCTTAATCCACATATGCTACTTTAATTTACCCTCACCCAAACCTGAGCTTTCCTGCATACCACCTGGTCATCTGCTGAATACCTGTCCACCCATCAGCCCCTGCCATGTACATCCACTAGTTCTGAGTCTTTTTTAATTTCTTGATCCAGTTATAGATCCCCTTCCCCCACTCCCCAACAGAAAAGAGGAAATGAGACCCAAAGAGGAAACTGGGTCTTGCTGATCTCACGCCTAGCCAGGCCACTGACCACACCCCCATTTCACTCCCAGCTTGACCCTGCCACTGACTACAGTACTATACCCTACCCATCCTGATTCAGCTACTGTCTATACCCTAGACTGCCCTGCCCCCCACCACAGCTCCAGTTTTAGACACTGCCAATATCTCTTTACTTCCCCACCCTACTCAGCCTAATTTAGCTACTTACTGAATCCCCCATCTGTTCTCAAACCCCTATAGCCTGACTTGGCCTCTGACCTCACTCCATCTTCCTCTGACTTAGCCATCATCCATGTAGTCACTCCTCCCTTTCCCCCAGCCTGATCCAGTGACTGATAGTATATGTATTTTTCCTACCWGATTATTAATCACATCCCATCTTCTTTTCCCTCATCCTTGCCCCAGTTGGGAAAGTCCCAATTCCTTACCTAAATTCAGCTGCGCTATCCACTGATGATCGGAAACTAAGGGATCCCAGCCTGACTTTGGGCTGTGGTCCAAGAGATTGACAGAACAGAYTGTCATCAGGTATTGTCAATTCTACCTCTTAAAAATCTCTCCTGAGCCAGGTGCTGTGGTGCACACCTGTAAGCCCAGTGGCTCAGGAGACTCAGGCAGGAGGATCACAAGTTCAAAGCCAAACTCAGCAAAAGTGAGGTGCTAAGCAACTCAGTGAGAACCTGTCTCTAAATAAAATATGAAATAAGGCTGGGGATGTAGCTCAGTGGTCGTGTGCCCCTGAGTTCAAATCCCCGGTACCCTCCGCCAAAAAGTCTCTCCTGAGTGGCGGTTTCCTCTTTACCATTCTAACTCTGGTYTCCTTACTTCTTACTTGTACTAAACAGTGTCTTTGTAAACAATCTCTGAGTTATTTTCCTAAATTGCAGTTCTGGTTATGTTCCTYCTCTGCTTCAAAGCTTCCTTTTGTCTCCTGTCCCCCACCAGTAGGTAAAATTCTCATACTCTTCTGTAGGCCACCCCTGCCTTTCCATCCTAACCCTGACTTCCTCACCACTGCTCCCTTGCAGGTACCCTGTGCTTCAGCCAGTCTGCCTACTCACTTCCCTGACTGCTCCTCCACGATTTCCTGCTTCTCCACCTTTGCTTAAGCTATTCTCCCTGCCTGGAATGCTACTTTTGACTCATCTCCGGCTGGCGTAATGGAGAGAGCTTGGGCTTTGGAGTCAGAGAGACATGGGTTCGGATCCTGACTTCACCAACTTAGTATTTGGACAAGTACTTTGAACAAGTATTTAACTTTCTTGAGCCTCAGTTTCCAAATCTGTAAAAATGGAAATAATGACACCTACCTTGCAGGGTTGTTGTAAGGATAACTGAAATTATGTATACAGTGCAATGGATATATAGTCAATAAATGTTAGATCACTATTACTTCTTATTATATTTATTTATTTTTTTAAATCTTAACTTCAAATGATACCTTTCATGGACAATTTTTTATCCCACTCCCTAATCTTCCTACTTCCCCCGCCCCTTGGAAGTAGATCTGTCTACTGAGCACACACTTTTTGGCTTTTATCACATCACATTATTGTAATTCTTTATTTCGCTTACCCACCTACCTGGAAGATTGGGAGCCCATTGAAGGCAAAGGCTAGGTCTTACTCATCTTGGTTCCTAGCCACTGAAAGTTTGGCCCATTCCTCAAGGAATTCTGGCTGGGTGAATGAAGGAGAATGTGTAATAGGAGGAGAGATGCTGGGGACCAGAGCACTGGAGCATGGCATGCTTGTGATTTGTGGGGAAGCTATGTGTGTGGGATGGGGACCCTATAAGAAGATCAGTGTAGAGGCTGTGTGGTTGAGATAAGATGTATATAGAGACAATGTAGGTGGCTTTGTGGGAAAGAGGTYTGTGCACATGCTGGGGTGCGTTAGGGGAGAATGAGTGTGCATGTGTAAATGTGGAGGGGCTGTGTTGGAGGAAGTTAGGTCCAAAGCCCAGCTCAGCTGCCCAGTCCAGCCCTAAATGAGCCTCCAGCAGCCCGAGGCCGGATATGTCAGTCTCACCCACAAACCCTCCCCCCCTCCCCGCGGTTGAGGACTCAGAGGCCAAATTTGGTAACAGACTGAGTGTTACTCCCCCAACCCTCTTACATTCTGACTCCATCTTCAGCTTTCTTGCTCTCTTTGTCCCTCTCTATAACTCCTTATCTTTCCGTAGTTCTGTTYGTGGGTATCTGCTCTATGTTCTCCACGTACCCTAAAATTCCTTAGCCCCAATACACTTACATTCCATTCCTTGCTGGGATTTGACCTCCTGTCCTCTGTCCCACCTCCCCCCTCCAATTGCCCAACTCCTCTGGAATGCATCTCAGGAATGTATTGAGGGAGGAGGAGTTCCCTGGGAGGGGGACACGGAGGGGGTGTTGCTATTCCATAAAACATGATGGAAAAGGGAGCAAAGTTCTTAGGCCAGGGCAGGAATCAGTTAGCTTCTGTTTAAACTTCCAGGGGCCTTGTTCTTTGCCACCACTACCCCCAGTGCACTAACTAATTCCCTCCCCATCCTTCACCCAATTTTGTACATGTCCACTCAGGACCAGCCTGGGAGTTAGGATAGGCATGACTCAACTGCCTTATCGGGGTCTCACCAGAGGCCTCTGAGGAAGATGTGGGTGTCCATATGTCCGGAGGAAATGGGGGGAGACATGCAATTTCAGTTTAGGGTGAAGGGTCCTTTCAGTCCTGCTTTAGCTCCTCGGACTCCTGGCTTCTCTGACCCTCCAGCCCTCACTTTTGTGGTAAGCAGTCCATGGCCAGGTCTGTCCCATTTTGGGAGAAGTGCCCCAGGAGAACAGGTGGAGAGAGGGGAGATTGGGAGAGTTCTTTCTTTTTTTGGAGAAAAGAGAGTGAGTGAGCCATTGTTTTTCTCTTTTGAGATTCT